GTATCATACCATGATTTAGACATAGAGATTCAGCTGCAACTGTCTAAACCGTTTTAGCAGCGTTCTGAGCGTATATTTTGAACTGCTGGAAGGTGCATATGTGTGAAGAGGATAGTGGTTCAATGGGTTGCGAGTTTACTTCGCACTCTAGAAGTGAAGGATTCAAATCACACGAGCGACACAAAGTTTCTCATATTGACTGCTAATTTCCTTGAGCACCCCATTGTGCTTCGGTGCAGCTATCCGTAAGAGGGACACAACCAAAGGTTGTTGACCTGCGACTACTACGGACACATTGTATTTTGATGTAGTAATACCAAAGCGTGCGAGATATACGGCTATGATATCGGTATCGGATATGTCTGCCTCGACCGGCTAGACAGATGACTGAAAATTAGCACAAAGCATAAATGCAATTTTAATTAAACGCCCTTATTCACTTTTATTTATGGACTTGCGGGGAACTTTATTTTCCGCGTTCGGTAGTAAAAACGGAGAAGACTTGTCGTCAGTTAGAGACAAAAGAATAAATCACTGTTAAGACAGAATCATATCTGAGTCAAACAATCATGTGACAGTGCGTAGCTGGGATACGTACCTTAATTTTACGTTTAACTTTGGCATCAGGTCAGGTGTCGTAAAAAATCTATGAATATAATCCTTGGTTTTGATTATTAACTACTGTCCAAAGCGAAAAAACAAACTTAAAGAAAGAAACTTTCACTTCAGCCGGAAAAGCGACGTTTAGTTTCCTCTACCCTTTAGACGTAAGTACCGCTAGATTAATGAACGAAAGCTGCTAAAGTGTGCTTAGCTGCTAGATTTCTTTGTACTCATCGAACGTTATATGTACATACTAAACAAAAACCAATAATAAGAATCTTCCAAATGTATTTCTGCTACAAGTTGGGCTGTAAGTGATCACTAGTGCTTTCTGGAAAGGTTCGTAGTTGACTGCGGGTGGTGTCAGCATACATGTGAACGTATTTAAAATCAAAATGCTGGTGCTTACCCTTTCTCTTGCCCCCGAACTAGAGGAGCAATGGAACACGTGAAATTCACGTAATGCGGGGTCGAGGTTACTGGTGATGACATATGGGAAGAAGAGATCCACCGACGAATTGGAATGGTAAATGGCGTTCCGCGAGAACTAGTTCGAACCACTGTGATTAAAGCAGAGCTCAGTCTGAAGATTAAGTTCTCTGCATTCAAGTACTTCTTCATCCCAATGCTCACGTACGGCAATAATTCGTGGACTATGACGTAAAAACTTTGATCCCAGGTACAAGCGTTGAAATGGGCTTTCCAAGACGAGTCGCTGGCCTTACGAGTCTCGACATGGTCCGGAATAAAGAAATCTGCGAGAGCCTTGGTGTACAGCCGCTGCTTCTTCTGATGGAGAAGTCAAAGTTGCAATGGTTTGGGCATGTGTTGCGAACGCCTCCAGAAAGAGAAGGCGAAGTTGATACTAACTACTTAACCAACTGACTGAGGACGGCCAAAATAACCTGGGGCAAGGGTATGGAAAGACTATGCTCGAAGTTCGAACGCTGGCACAGGAGCACAAACATTGGAGACACTGCCTGAAGAAATGATCGAAACCAACTGACTGTTTGAGTTCGGCTGTATTTATGCAGAAATTATTAAAACACCACTGTGTTTATTGCAGGCAACAAACCGCAACAAACGCACGATCACCGTCTATAATCTGCAGTAATGCCATTTAGTGGTAGCTGACAGCGGGACTTGCTAAAACCGTAACATCCTGCTTTCAGAACTAATTTATTATTAATTTGTTTACAACATTCCCGAAAAACGTCTTCCATTTAAATCTGTACTCGCCGATGATGGCCAAAAGCATAATAAGTGGAAAAGTTGACCTAATCAAATCAACAGCGCTAGAAACAAGTACAAAAAATCACTTCTGTTCCGAACTAT